TTCGAATAACGGGTCGGCTTAAAATCAGATAATGGGTTTTTCTGACGAAAATTTCTCAGCAACAGCCTGGAGTCAGGAGCGTAAAGCCGTTGGTCCAGCGCCTGATCTCTTTCCGGTTGTGTTCGTTTACCATCCCATCGGAATATGAGAGTGGGGGAATAGAGAGTGCGCCTGCACCAACACTCGGGCACTATAATCCTGTGCGCAGATGGCTAGTCTCCGTAGAGACTGGCCGCCGTGATCGAAATTCGGTCTGGAGCACATTACCCATTTTACAGGTAACGGGATATTCCCCTCAGTCTTTAGAGCGAGTGGTACAACACAAAAACCACTTACCTACTATCAGATGAACTGTGTGCACGTTGGTCATCCTAAGTTAAAAAAAAATTGTAAGGTACATATTTTCTCACTAATAACTATATTAATTACACGCAGTGCCTTCTCCTATTTGATAGGTGAGGTTCTATCTACGGGCTGATAGTGGAAAATCCATACAAATATGCTGAACCGGCTTTCTATAGACTGGCAACAGGGTTTTGAGAACAGTGACCAGTACAAAGCTATCAAGTCACTCGCATTATTTCAAATGTTACCTTTACAACCTATTAAAGTCCACTAAGGAACATACATAACCCTCCCCTATAGGTTACCTTATAGGGGAGATATTTGCGATAGTTGCCACGGTTGGTATCCGGGTTGGTAATCGCAGTTTTTTGTATTAGGCGTTATTAAGAAGACGCTGCTGCCCATCTCCTGATTTGTTTCCCTCTGTCGCCTCTTACACATTATGCTCGCGTCGGCATTTTACTTTGAAGTTTTTATTTGAGTCAGTACATGTACGAACGCCAACAAAGTCTCGTGTGCTAACATTTCTAACATTTGTAAACATAACATATAAACATATATTTTTACGTGGTAGAGCCATGCTGCAACTATATAAATAGTATAGTGGTAGCACGAATGTGTCGGCTCGACCTGGGAAGGACCACGCTCTCAGAGAATACCGACGTAAAATAGCAACTAAATACTGCTGTTGTTCATATAGTGAATGTAGAGAACCGGAGACCCTTTTTACTAAGAAATAGGCACTTCATCTTCGTCCTCGCGGCAGACAACGCATCTGCATTTTGATTCGCAAACGAGGATAGATGTAGGTGTCTATGGACCACAGCAACCACTTACCATCAGGTGGAATGTGTAAATTAGTCACTTTTATTCTATAAAATAATATTATTGAAGTTAACCGAGCAGTAGCGATATAATACAATCCACTACTCCATATCATCGCGCATCCAGAAGGAAAATAAAGAAAAATTAACAACTGAATGTTATAAAGAACAGCCAACCCACCTGTCAAGTATGAATGAAATCTTCATTGTTTAGAGAAGGTCGAAGAACATTTTGAGAATTTTCATCGCAGTATGTACTTTTGGATATTTTCATTTTATTGAATTCAGTCAACAACTTTAGAAACTATATCACTATAAACTCAAAGGCATATATGGACAGTACTAAAGGTTTTTTGTTAACAACGGAACCCTAAAAGACTAATTTTAATACACAAAAACATACTTAAGTTATGCACATGACGGGAGGGGTTGCAAAAATAGGGTTAGCACAAGCTCTCCCTAAAAACTTTTTAGGTCATAACGTAGTAACTTTGATAAAAATGGGGAGCCTTGAACCGAAAGCAAAACATTGTCCGGTCGTACACGAATATAGTGTTACGTTGGGAACGCTTCCCGCTATTTGACACTACTGGTGTGAATTACGGATGGTCAAATTGATTGTCTTTTTCAAATGCATTCAGTTTTTCATCACAGCTTATTAAAGTCCACTGCTGAACATAGGCCTCCCCCATAGATTGCCTCATAGTGGGGATATTTGCCATAGTTGTAATGTTACTGGTAATTTAATAATTTCACCTCTCAGCGGGTCATGTGCTCCTGGTAGATTATCTTCTACACATCCATCCATTACAGCCTATATAAGACCAGCTGAACATAGGCCTCCCTTATAGATTGCCTCAGATTAGCCCTTAGTTGTCACGCATGACAGATTCGCAACCGCTGTCATTTTATTATTATTGAATTGTTTCTAGGTGGATTTTTTTATAGAGTAAGTAACGAGCACACAGTCCACCTAATTGTAAGTGGATCTGTCCTCAATTAAGAATCAAAATGCAGATGCGTTGTCACCCCTGAGGATCTCCGGTTCTCTACACTCACCATACGAAACACAGCAGCATTAAGCTGCTATTTAGCGCTGATATTCTATGAAAGTGGTGTCCTACCCTGGTCAAACCGACCCATTCGGCCTACAACCACAATACAGCTGCAGGGTGGTTCTACCACGTAATAAAATGCAATAGGTGCAATGGGACAGCGACATGCTTCTATTCCACGCTGGTATTCTGTGCAAGCGTGGTCCTTCCCAGGTCGAGCCATTTGTATCGCAGACATATTCACCCGCTTCGGTACTCTATCACGTAAAGTTACTTTAACTGTTCTATTTAAATACAATAGTCATTCAATATCGATAAATGTTTACAGAAAAATTGTACGAAATATAGGTTTTAGGATTCCCGTAGGATTACTGCTATCTTGTCTATTTCTGTCGTGCTGTGTGCTGCAGTGCTTGCACTGCTGTGTCCAGGTCTGGAGAGTATAGAGAACTAGTATAACTATAGGTTGTGAGTATTTTTTTATAGGATAGGGTGACAAACGAGCACACAGTCCACCTGATGGTAAGTGGTTTCTATGGCCCATAGACATCCACATTTATCCTCAATAAATTATCAAAATGCAGATGCGTCGTCACCCGTGAGGACTAAGATGGAATGCCTCTTTTCCAGTAAAACGGGTCTCCAGTTCTCTACACTCACCATACGAAACACAGCAGCGTTAAGCTGCTATTTTACGCTGGTATTCTGTGAGAGCGTGGTCCTTACCCGGTCGAGCCGACCCATTCGTGCTACAACTATACTACTAATAAAGCTGCAGCATGGCTCTACCAAGTGCAAAATGATGCACGTGGGTCAGGACCGTGCTTTGTGGCATTCCTTGGGGGAGGCCTAAGTTTAGCAGTGGACTTGTGAAGGGCTGCAATGATGATGATGACGGTGAAATAAAACTGTAATATGGTAAGGAATCAAAGCAGTATCTTCATCGTTACATTCTCTCAGTATTCTATTTTCACTAAACATATATGTGAATAAAATTGCAGTGTCTGCCTGTTATATTTAAATAACTGCCTTCGAATATGCTCAGTGGTTATTTGCATATTAAGACATACACAATAATTGTTGATATCGTGGAGGCAGTTTACAAACATAAATTGCACGAGGACAAACATCCAGACCCGGAATAATTATTTGTAGGCCATACAAATACTTGTTCCGTGCGGGATTCGAACCCGCGGCACCGGTTGAACCGATTTTGATGAACTTTACGAACAGGTAGAGAGCAAGGCCACGAGGAATCCCGGCTACATTTTAAACGAACATTTTGAACATATTTTTTACTTAACAACTGATTAAATAAATGGTATTTGATTATCTTAAGTCTAAAATAACGCCACATTAACAGATCCTACCCAGGTGAAGCTGGGAAGGGTCGCTAGTCCAACATTAAACTTAAGAATGCTATTGATATGTTAGGTTTCTTCGGCAGACAGTTTGACGAACCTAGTATCAGAAGCTATCGCCGATATGTCTGGTTCTTTTCTATATATGATATATAAACATACTTTTTTATACGTGGTAGAGCCGTGCTGCAACTGTTTTTTGTTGTCGCACGAATGGGTCGGCTTGACCGGGGAAGGACCACGCTCTCACAGAATACAGGCGTAAAATAGCAGCTTAATGTTGCTGTGTTTCGTATGGTGAGTACAGAGAATCGGAGACACTTTTTACTGGAATCGAGACATTTCATCTTCGGTCAGCTCTTCAGGGGTGACAACTGACAACGCATCTACATTTTGATTCTTAATCGATGATAAATATAGATGTCTATGAGCCACAGCATCCACTTCCCATAAGGTGGACTGTGTGCTCGTTTGTCATCCTTATTCTACAAAAACCACCTATTTTATAAGCTACGAATTTCGTGGAAATTATTTTAGTTTTTTAAAGTAGATTTTTATTATTTTTACCACGTACGAACAGACATACAGGATAACGAGTTAATAAAATAACTCGCTTTCGTATGTCTGTTCGGATTGAATTTAGTAATTGATTTTAAACTAACTTCCCGATGAGCTAGACTTTAAATTATGGACATAATTCATAATCGGATTTATAATGTCAGAACATTAAAAAAAAACGTTGTGTAATATAAAATTTTAAAACATAAAAAATTAAATAATTGTTTTAAATATAGAATATTATGTTACTTTTGTTTCTAAAAATATTATTTTAAAAATGGAAAACTTGAAGGAATCTTCAACTTAATACGTTGCAATAATAACCATTGTATTATTTTATATTGCATAATCGACACCCTACAAACATAGTGCCAAATATTTTTGGCACACCGAGATCGTTTTATTTTACAAGAAGATATATCAATTCCATTAGTAGGCAGGACCGCTTCACAGATTTTGGGGTCATATAAAAGGAGCACAAAGGAATTCAGCTCCTTGAATGAGACGGAAATAGCTAAAACTGGGGTAGCTACAATCACAAGGGCGTAGAGCTCAAAATCGGGTAGCGTTAGTTACGGAGGAGGAGCAAAAGGAACCCAGTTACGCCGAGCTCGATTCCCGGGGACTACGGGATCGATGTTGGCTTGTATCTGGTTTTTTCGGACACTATACTAACTGGGAGGGGTGAACGAACCGCGTTATGTAAGGAACGGGTCGATAGCGTGAGACATGCGCGCACCCCCGGCTACCGGGTGGCATTATCGCTCGCGCGCGCCTCCACGACGGACGTGCCCTGTTTTGTTTTTACCGCGTTTTTCGTTTCCCTTTCGTTCTTTCCGTTTATGATTTGAGCCAAAATGTCGAAGGGCGACAGCGAACAACAGAACGGCTCCGGCGAGGAGTCCAAGACCAACCTCATCATCAACTATCTCCCGCAAAGCATGACGCAGGAGGAGATACGGAGCCTGTTCTCGAGCATCGGAGAAGTGGAGTCGTGCAAGTTGATCAGGAATAAAGGTGCAGCGTTCCCTGACGCGCTCAATCATGCTTTACACGGTGGCGGCCAGAGCTTGGGCTATGCATTTGTCAACTACCATCGCCCTGAAGACGCTGAGAAGGCTATCGCGACACTGAACGGACTCCGCCTGCAGAACAAAACGATCAAGGTATCCTACGCCCGACCGAGTAGCGAAGCTATCAAAGGTGCGAATTTATACGTCTCCGGGCTTCCTAAGACCATGACACAAGCGGAACTCGAGCGGCTGTTCAGTCCGTACGGACGTATCATCACATCGCGTATACTTTGCGAGAACTCTGGCGGCAGGCCTTTCACCGGCGGCGAGCAGGGCCTATCAAAAGGCGTCGGATTCATACGTTTCGACCAACGGGTGGAGGCGGAGCGTGCTATACAGGAGCTGAACGGCACAGTACCCAAAGGAGCGACGGAGCCAATCACTGTGAAGTTCGCGAACAATCCGAGCAACAACGGGAAGGCGTTGGCACCTCTGGCTGCTTACCTGCCCGCTGCGCTGCGCTTCCCCGCGCCACTGGGCCGCTTCAGTTCAGGCAAGTCCCTCCTAGCTATCAATAAGGGTCTGCAGCGCTACAGCCCGCTGGCTGGCGAGCTGTTAGGCGGCGTGTTACCAGGCGCCGTCGGCTCCGAGTGGTGCATCTTCGTCTACAACCTCGCTCCCGAGACCGAAGAGAACGTTCTCTGGCAGCTCTTCGGCCCATTCGGCGCCGTGCAAAGCGTCAAGGTGATCAGGGACCTCCAGACCAACAAGTGCAAGGGCTACGGGTTCATCACGATGACGAACTACGACGAGGCTGTCGTCGCGATACAGTCCCTGAACGGTTACACACTCGGGAATAGAGTGCTGCAAGTCAGCTTCAAGACCAACAAGATCAAGACGATCTAAGAGGGTCGTCCCGCACTCGGCCTAGCTGGACGCTAGGACGGCACAGCAGGCGCGCACCCATACATACGTAAATCACAGCCCCAACCGACAACCAGCTGTCTCGATAGATATTAATGGCACATGGACCTGATCTGATCATGTCTTCCCTGATTTTAGACGACCCTCTGGCGGCCGACGTCAATGGGTATTTTGTTAACATTAATTATTTAATAGAAAAATGTAATCGACTAGATTTAGACGACCCTTTGTTCAGCGTTGTATATGCTATCTATATGTACGAATTGGGTTAAGTGTTTCAGGAAATCAAAATGGCGGAATTGAGCGGCGCTGCGCCGCGCATGTCCGGCCAAGATGGCCGACGTTGAATGAAGGGCCGCGACAATGCAATAATAATTAGATACGGCATTAAATGCCGTAATAACACATCGGCCTGAGACAACCAAACATATTCATAGTCAATAAAGTGACAATCAACTTCGCTTATGAAAGGTTGTGGTTAACGTGAAAATAGTTTTTCGAATATAAATAAATAAATAATAATTAGCAATAATAGCCTAAAGCTATAATCCCATTTTAGACTTTCATATCTTAATAACGGTGTATAAGACCGACTCCGCGGATCGACACGCCTACGTTATACAATATACAAAATACATCGCGGCGGCCGGAGCTCAGACGAAATGAATGTTATATTGTTAAAGATTCGAAGAATATAATATATTATCTATACGTATATTTTAATCATATATTAATCTAATTAAGGATGAAAACTAATCAAAAACTGTGATAGGTTTTGATAAAATTTTAAAAAATAATAGCGAAAGAGTCGGGGTGTGACGGGGTGGTCTGAAAGCATAGCCCCCTTGTGGCCGGCCGCAGGGCCACAGGGAAGGTAGGTTAGTTTTTGAGATACGTTTTGATACGCGATAACGCGAGGAAGGATTTACACTCTAGTGCATACAGCCTGCGGCGTCAGTGGATATGGATTCGGCACGAAGCGAGAGGGAGATGGGGGAAAATCGATTCAGCTGTTCTGGGCACCGGGAGGGACGTCAAGGCGCCGGCGTCCCCCCTCACCCCGGCCTTCCGGTAGGGTGCACCCCCGCCTGCGATAGGAGGGCTCCGTTTGCGGAACTATGGTGCGTACTAGTCTAACGATTGCAAAATAAAAAACGATGTCTAAACATATGATCGGTACCTGCTTAAATAATATTGTATGGATGCGGACCTGCGTCTATTCGAAGTAGGCTTTAATCGTCTAGTTTAAATGGAAATTTGTAAATAGAATATTTGTTTAATTAAAAAAAAATAGTACTTATACTCTCGCCGCGTCTGAAAACACGCCACACTAGAACCACAATAACTTCTACCCAAAAAAAATAAAAGACCTATTGATGAAACATCGAAATTGAATAGATTAAATATCGTGCCGTCCTAACGACCCTACGATTTTTGTAAAAAAAAATATATACTTAATATATGTAAAAACAGTTTTGTAACATTTCAGATATTAACTAATAGGTACTCATTACATACCAAAGGAGATTTAAAATTTACAAGTATTTATATATTTATTATAAAGGTAAATCGTGCAATAACTGATAGCCAGTAATTTAATAAAAATATATTAAACAAATTGACTCGAAGAGACGTTAGACATAATGTCGATGTGGGTTGCGATATAGCCACATTTACTATTTATTGTACTCTATTGGTTTATCCGGGCTAGAGCCTAACGAGCGCTCACAGTTTAATTTTTTTTAAAAGTGAAACCAATAAATCTTTAGCTTTATTTTAACAGCTTCAATATGCTTAACATTCCAATTTAGCATTTGTTTTAATGTTTTAATAATAAGATATACTAGTGTATTAATTTAGATAAATTGTGAGTTACCATTTAGTTTTCGAACGTCACTTTGACGTTTCGGAACTCTGTTTTCCCGCCCAAGTGACATTCGAAAACAACAAAAATATTTGGTTTTAATTAATGTAATGGACGAAAGGTAACGGAACTTTTGATTCGACTAGTGGGAGTGTTATGCACAAGTTTTGCAAACCTAATATTATATTGCTATTGTAGCGACGTCTCTTAGGTTAAATAGTTGTTGTATTTTGTGTTTTGAGGCTGCATAAATAATTCAACTATTCTCTAGTCAGTTCCGTTAATGCGGTTCGTATATTTATATTTTGAATAGTTGAACTTAATGTTGGTATTAATTATAATTTGTCATGAGTATTTGTTCGTAGTTTCACTCTGTATAATTTAGTGTACTTAAATATTTATTGTATTTTAATTGTGTAACTAAATTAGGGGTGCGTTCTAACCTTTTTAAAGCAATTTTGGTACATTTTGCGAATTCTCATTCGACGATTCGGTGAGATGACCTAAATTGATTTATTTATTAGGGAAATATATCGGGCGATTGATCGATATTGGGAAAATGTGTTGAAACCCACGGGTGTTTAATGGTATCTATAATTTAAGTTTGGGGAACGCGTTGCAATTTATATCCGTTCGTCCGCTTTTGGTTAATTTTTCATATGAAAACAAATTGTTTGGATCGAAACAGAAAACACCAAAGTTTAAAACTCATCGACTTTTTAGATAATAAATAATGATAAATGTGAAAATGCTAAATATTTTGGAGTGAACTGTTGATTAAGTGTACGATAAGGTAAACAGTCACTTAGTGCGGGCATTAGTAGAATGTTTTGTGCGTTTCCCCTCTACATTCGGTAATAATGGTTAATGAAACTCTAAAAATAATTAAATTGTAATGCTCAATAGTTTAGATTATCGTGAGCAAGATAGTGACGTAATAAAACTGGATAAGCAATAAAGTAAATTGTGAATTTTAAGCCCTAACACACGGATAGGTACGCAACAATATAATTAACCTAATATTTTTATATGTATTTTAAAAATATACTGTAATTCATATCTACATAGCTGTAAGCGGCCAACTTGCAAAACGTTCTACTAATAAAATAGTTATTGAGGCCTTGAAAACTACTAATTCAAAATGACGTAAAGTCGCGGTGTTGCCGCAAAATTAGGCTAAGACACAATCATGTTTAGGGCGAGCGGACAAGCAATATTGGCAAGTTATTGGCAGTTATCAAGGTCTTAATTACTACTATTCTATCCACAACCCTGTTTCTGATAGCATTGTGGATTGCAAAATGTAGTATTAAATGCACCTCAGTAAGTGACAAGGGATAAACAGACCTATTATCAATAGCATAACGGCTACTTTTTGAACGGTGTTTTGATGCATTTTTTAAGAAATTAAAAATAATAATATTATAAAAAATAAACGTAATTAATTGGCAACACAGAAACAATACTCTAAATACGCATAGGCTAATTGACATTGAGGCTGTGAAAATTAGCAAAAATAAAATAAAAAATACACGTGACAATTGACCTTAATTAATTAAATTAATGGATTAAGCGGGTTCGCGAGACGAAGAAAAATGTGACTTTTTAATATTCGGTAGAAATGTCATGTGAGATTAAGTCAATTTCGCGCCATTTAGTGACGTCTCATTAAAAAAATAAATTTGCGATCCAACCTAATTAATACTATTAGGTTCACTCTTTAAAAAATCTGTATGCTAAAATTGCGCCTTAGTAAATTTTCGAATGAATCGATGTCATTAAAACGAATGCGCGAGATTTAGCTGAATTTTAATCAAATAACACTAAAAATTCACTCAGATTACATTTCTGCACTTCGTTCAGCGGATATATATTATCATAATATCACGCGTACCAACAACATGGTTGATGGCCCATATAATAAGTAAATCAATTAATTATTCCGACGAAATTGCGTGAGCGTTCAACTGTCCAAAAAAAACTAAAAATGGTGATAGAATGGTGGAAAGAGGAGCATTTAGCATTTTTCTATGCATTTGTATGAAGCTTTCTCATGGTGTTTAGGTGTAGGAACCGCCTTAGTGTCGGCCATATGCACAAATGTTAAGAAAATGACCGACGCATACGCGATTCCGTTAGTTAGTGACAAAATGACGAAATTAAATCTTCCATAGGAAATAAATACGTAAGTTACACGTTTTACATGTGAAAATATTTCAGCCTATTGTGTTGGAATGTTCAATGCGGCATCTAGTCAATGCTCAATACAATTATTGCTGCATTTAGTGTTTTGACACAAATTACAATTTATCGATACCCGAGCACCTATCGATAACGAGTGATGATTGAAATATTTTTCACGCGTGAACAACTCGAGACATCGACTAAATGTGTTACTTCATACGTCAAGACGCTCGTGAGAATTTAATGCATGGCATAACACCTCCTTTTCAATGCTGCGCGGCTATATTGTTGTAAAATTATTGAAAATTATTTAATAAAAAATACTACGTTTGCTCATCAGGTACTTCCTCGTCTTTTGGATCTGTTTCTCTAGTAGGTAGCTTTTAGAAGTATACTCCTGATAGTTTTATAATGTTATAGCCTTTCGCGGCAAATTTTAACCTTAATCCATTATCATTGTCACATCCGGCGGATAGAACACGGCGTTTTTATCCGATTCTATTAATTGTAGATTTATTTTTAATTATCAAACTACACTAGTCTAAACTAAGTCAGAAACCTAATTTATATTAATTGTAATAAGTTTAGTACTCATAATGTCCAGAAACTGAAATTTACTCAATATTCATTTATAAGTTTATTTCGCCTATCCGCCATATTTAATTATAGACAGTGAAAAATAGTAACTGATATTGGTATTTTCTCATAAAATTTTATCCCGTTCCAGTTAAATTACAATAGTGAGGTGACACGAGTTAGCTTACGACAAAGTCGGGTAAACTGCAGAATGCAATAAATATGTAAATAGAACAATATCGGTATCGGTCCGGCTTCGAGTAAGCGAATTATAACCGAAATGTTTTTCGAATTTAAAAAATTAAATAAATTAGAACATCGTATTAAAATCAATTTCACTGTCTATTTATTAGGTTAT